TCATGTACCGCATCATATTTCTGAACATATAATCTGAATGCATGAAGGCAAGGAGTATCGTTCAACCTCCAATGGTATTCCGTTACATTTTGCAGGTGGCGTCAAAGTTGAATATATTTGGTTAGGAATGCCAGTTGCGTAGACTGTGTACGGCATGCTAGCTTGATCGGGCACCTGGATATCCACGTCTAGCCAGTGTCATGCTTTTGGATAAGCAAAGAAGATGCAAGACTTGTTTCGGTAGAAAGTGATGATGCTATGGATTCGTTTAACTTATAGTCCTAAATTGTCGGAAAGCATGATTTGAACATCGAATGAATTTATGCACGTTTTGGTAGCTAAAGATGAACAAACACAAGCTTCGTGAACTAGCGAGTGCAAACAAGCTCATATATAATATTCTTCAGCAATCCGAACATTGTGCCACCCGGAGAAATGCAGTCAATGTAGTATCGAATTTCGTCATGGAACCGAACGAGTAAACTTAGGTGATGTTTTTGGGAAACGGTTTTAGAAGTTATAGTTATTGATCACTCGGACCCTTGATCACGAGCACGTAGTATCCAAATGCACAAATACGGTTGTCCAGTTAGGCGGTTCTTCATTTTGTGGAATAAGACGCAATCTTAGTTGATAATACTCTGTTATGTTTCTGTTTATTTTTTGTTTCAGGCGATGGAAAGTCCTCCACTTGAATTGTTCCAAAGTCAATATGATGTACTGATGCACTGGAATGATGTGGAAATAGCAGCAGGTGTTCAGAGCAATAGTTGATGTTTTGGATTACCTATGTGGACAGTCACTACGTATGCCATAAAATGTTTAAGGAACTAAGTGGACAATCTACATCACGATGACAGTCTCCTTAGTTGAGTCGTTTGGAAATCGATTATGTCAATCACATGAGTGACAATAATCTTTCCCTGCAGCCGAGGTCCACAAAAATAGTATATATTTGGACTAACTCGGTAACATCAAGCAAGACATTTTTGTTGCTACGACTAACAAGTTTCATCCGACAATCCTATCTATATGGTTTGTTTCAAATATCTAGCTTGCGACAAGTGGTAGTTAACTTGAGTACGGCAGTGGTCCGCCTCGTTATGCATCCTCGGGTTCGTAGATCGGAATAATCGGGCCCTCAAGCGTGGGATCACGCGTGTTCACACTTCTCGCCTCATTTGGCAGGAATATCATATCATATCATATCACAAAAAATGTGATTCTGGACTTCGTGCGCCTGTTCATAAAGCGATGGCCGGCAAACATTGACGCAGCTTAGGTGAAAATAATATCATTGTATTTCTCACGAAATACAGGTAACCGAGTAAGTAACAGGGTGACACTGAGTTAGCCACGGCAACAAAATATATTTCTTTAGGCGGTGGGAACGATTTCAGTGATGGAATCACACAGATAGAATGAAAAATAATGTGGACTACAGGACCACCAACAAACCGTTTCTTGTAAGCAAAATATTTCAAAATAGTTATTTGCGGTGAATCTGAATTGGCTGGCCAATGTGATACTTCGACGGAGCGTGCCAATTCGATCTTCTCTCAACTGAAATGTGAGGCGGCTGCAAAGCGTTGTGGGGTCCTCTTCAATAATTTTTAATTTTGTAACACATGACCCAGGATGGTATGCTTTTACTACGTCCCGGAACGGTCATAATTCAGGTTGTTGGAAACTTACCGTTAAAATTTTCGCCCGCTTGGAAGTCTCTTTTCATTGAACAACAATAATGTGATGTGAGACTGAACAATACACCTCCCGCAAAAACAAAACCA